TATTTTGCTCCTCAGAGGGCATAGGCCTGGCATGCACAGTTACCCTGGGATGACAGTGGTCTTAGGAGGGCTTTTTGCCGTCTCTCTTTCCCCCCAATCACATCCAGCTGCTAAACTCTACTAATTATCAGCTCATTTTTCTATTGTTTTTAACAACACAGTAGAACATAATTGCTCCCTAGATTGAGACTGATCCAATTAAATCTGGGTTCCTTTACTGGGGTAAATTTTGAGGTCAGTGTTTGAGCTTTGTTCCTACTCAAGGCTCTTCTTTGCTGTCTTTTTCTGGTAAACTTATTGGCTTCTGATTTACCTAATACCCCTCATGAAGCAACCAACCTCCTCTTACTTGATTTCTACCAAAACTTCACTGTTTTTGAGAACACCCTTAGAATTGAACTTCCTCACACTCTTCCAAATAAACTCAATGTTGTCTTTGCCTTTTGTGTGTTTGTTTCCCCAGAGTATAGAAGCAGTCTGTTCTTATGGCTTACTTCTTCACCTGGGCGAAATCTGAGCCATGGCTTTGGAAATGATTGTGGGGACAGTGGTATGATTATCTCTGAGTGATCCCCTAGATTTTGGAGAGTTCTGGGTGGGGGGCATTAGCCTCTGGTATTCTAGACTTAACTGTCTTGACATGGAAACTCCACTCTACAAATGTATTGGGGCAAGAATGATGGGGTCCCTAGTATTTTCAACCCATCATGCCAGAGGTAGAGCCTCTGCTCTATGAGTGAGGGCAGAGTAGAATAAAGTAACCCTGACTTCTTAGCCATACTCACCTGCCATTTAGCTACTGCAATAGGTAGTTGGGAATAAGATAAATGCTAAAGGCATGTCCCTCCCGTTAAGATACCATATCTCTTTACCAGGAGCTGGGGGTGGGGAGGAGGGAGTCCTATGTTCTTAACTCCATCTGGAGTGGAGTTTCTGTTAATCTGAATCCCAGCAGGGGTGGATGGGGGATTGGGGGTAGATATCATGATTCAAATGTAGACTCTCTGTTCTGAGTTTTACTAGATTTTCTTGAATACATGTTTCTTTATTTGATGTCATCCCTTAAAACCACTTCTAGAGACTTTAAATGTGTGTATTTTAATTATTTAAAATTACTTAAAAGTAATTTCATCTCCCATATGCCTGTTTTTCTAGGTAGTTTTTTTTTTTAAGATTTTATTTATTTATTTGAGAGAGAGAGAGAAAGAGAGAGAGCACAAATGGGGGAGGAGCAGAGAGAGAGGGAGAAGCAGACTCCCTGCTGAACAGGGAGCCTGAAGCAGAGAGCCTGGAGTGGGGTTTGATCCTGGGGACCCTGGGATCATGACCTAAGCCAAAGGCAGATGTTTAACCAACTGAGCCACCCAGGCGCCCCTAGGTAGTTTAAAAATATAACATGGAAGATAAGAAATGATGTTACCCAAATGGTGGGGTAGGGGGCTCCAATTTCTGTGACCCCACAAAGATTAACAATTAGACAACTATCCACAAACAAAAATAGCTCTGGGAGAGCTCAGGAGTCCACTTAAGAAGCTTCAGAAATGCAGTGGAATAAAAACTCTGAGAATAATTGTACAAAAAAGTTAGGAAGAAGAGTTTCATTTTACTTATTCCCCAGGGCAGCACTGCTCAGTGCCAAGAGGGAATTCTCCAGCTCAAAAGAGTTTGCCTATCTATGACTGGGAGAATAGAGTTAGCAAACAGTTCCCCTAGCCTTTGAGGGCACTGTGTGATTGGATCCACTTTGGTTTCACCTGCCAAGTTGAATCATGTAAAGATAGCTGGGAACAAGGAAGAAAGACAGGGGTTACCAGTATCAGCCACACAAAAGGAGTGACCATGGTTCCCTGCTCCTGAGAGGACCCCAGAAGCTTTTGCCACTGGAGAAACCAGTGGCCAGCAGAATCACTACGCACCTCCTGCTGATTTTGCCACTGAGGTTTTTGTCCCACAGGTTTTTGCATCCACAGACACTAGCTACATAAATCTCTCTCTGCCCCCTCCCCCACATCCTGTGGAACCTCTGTGGCTGCATCTATAAGCCCCAACCTAGACCTCCCCACAGCTGAATCCCAACCCTATGTGTGCACCCCTAGCTTGTCCTGCAGCTGTGTACATCCGTGCTGCTGACCAGACTGCTGTCACCAGCCTCCACTGCTCTGCACATGCCTGTGGTGAGAGTCTGCAGCTACAGGAGTGCCTGCTGGTGGCCAGGACCCTTGCAGCTGCTAGCATTCCCACAATTGGCCCCAGTCCCTGCAGCGAGCCTCAGCCCTTGCCATTAAGTGTATGTCTACAGCAGGTCCCTTCTGCTACACAGGCACCTGGAGGTGGCCAGTGCAGCCAAGCACATGACTGTTTCTGGCAACCATAGCTGCCCACCCTGGTCCTTATCAGCTTGAAATAGAGGTGTCGCTGAGGATCTGACAGGCCTTGCACCTTTGCGGAACCTCTGCAGCTCTTGTTAAGGATCAAATGGCTGTCGATGTCATGGACCTCAAGACCTGAGCCAGTGAGACATTATGTCCCCCATACCTGCAGCAGCTACACACCCCTACTCTTGGCACCCTGCATCACTAGAACCAGGGTCACAGCATGCTCCAGCATGGACCCAACCATAGGTAAAGGTCTTTCCTTACCAAAATCAGTCCATAAAGTCTGGAAGAGGTGACTGCTTTTTCAAATGTGCAGACAACTATGCAAGCTACAGGGATCATTTAGAATCAGGAAAACACAGTATCACAAAAGGAACACAGTAATCTTTCAGTAACCGCCACAAAGTAGTGGACGTAAACAAATTACCTAACAAAAAATTTAAAATAATTGTTCTAAAGATGCTCAGAAAGCTACAAGAGAACACAGATATACAGTTTACATAAATCAAGAAAACAATACAAGAACAAACTGAGAGATTCGACAAAGAGATAGAAAACATAAAACAGAACAAAACTGAAATTTTGGAACTGAAACATAAAGTGGATGACGGGAAGAACTCAGTAGAAAGCTTCAACAGCAGATTGATCCAGTCAAAGGAAGAATCAGTAAACTTAGAAACATTCAAAATTATCCAGTAAGAGGAGCAAAACAAAAGAAACAAAATACGAAAAAGAATGAAGAAAGTGAATCTTAAATGCTCTCACCATAAGAACAATAACAACAACAACAACAACAACAAAAGTTAATTCTGTGATGTGAAGATTGTGTTAGCCTTCCTGTGGTAAACATTTCACAATATGTCCATCTACCAAACATCACGTCGTATACTTTAAATTTACCCAATGTTATGTGTCAATTATATCTTAACAAAGCTGGAAAAAAGAAACATAAAGAAAAAGTAATACATTTGAGTATACAAGAATGTAAAATATATATATATATATTTCTAAAATTAAAAAGAAAACACAAGGAAATATTTGCAACAGATAAAATCTTATCTTAAATATACCAAAAACTTCAACAAATCTCTAGGATAAAGATTAACACTCAAATAATTAAATGAACAAAGAACACAAACTGGCATTTCATAAGATGCAGATAACAAATGAACATATGTAAAACGTTTGACCTCACTAGCAATAAAGTGAGAAACACTTCTATGTCCACAAATTTGAAAAGATAATAAATAAAATTATATAGTAAGTATGCAAGGAACTGGGAAAATATAGCACTAATGAAAAAGTAAAATGACACAAACTTTGGCAAAATAAATAAATATAATATAAAAAATGTGCATTACTTTGCCATGTTGCATCCAATTTATTTAAAAATGTTAGCATAGTGTGATGTATGGCTAATGGCCATGTGTGTGTGTGTGTTGGTTTTAACCTACCCTCTTGCTAGGGTTGGTTAACATTTGTAGTTCCCTAAGCAAGGATATATATTCCAGAAGCAGGTAGTTAGCATCGAAAAGCCTCTTATCAGAAACCTACGTGAGATTCAATGAACTTTATTTAAGATCAATGATAAAAGCTTTGTTAATTGGCATAATTGAAGGTAGCAGTGATTATTCTCTGATGAAATGAGTGGTGCTCAAGATATGGGTTTGACTAGAAATATTGCCGTGAGTGTTGCTCTGCAGAACATGGTGTAAGAATCTAGTGTGCCCAATAGCTTATATTCCTGGGAATGGTGTCCTGTGCTTATGCTTGCAATGATTTCTGTGAGTATCTTTCAGAGCATTTTTGTTGCCTGACTCCAATTAAAATGCTAACTAAATCCTGCGCTTGCAATACTGTTGCATTTGCCTCTAGTGAATCTTCCATTCAAAGTGCTGCTGGAGAGGGGCGCCTGGGTAGCTCAGTCGTTGGGCCTCTGCCTTCGGCTCAGGTCATGATCCTGGGGTCCTGGGATCAGGCTCCGCATCGGGCTCCGCATCGGGCTCCCTGCTCGGCGGGGAGCCTGCTTCTCCCTCTCCCACTCCCTCTGCTTGTGTTCCCTCTTTCGCTGTGTCTCTCTCTGTCAAATAAATAAAATCTTTAAAAACAACAACAAAGTGCTGCTGGAGAGCCTGTAGGACAGAGAGTTGGCACTTGGCTGAGCTCAGTTTGAATGATTTTTTTTATATCTGCTTGCTATGTTTTTACATGTGCAGAATTTAGACTTGAATCTTCTTTTATTGTAATCTAGAGCTCTCACCTACCTTTAATTTTTGCAAATCATGGATATAGTCACAAAAGAATGTAAAAATTAAGAATGAGTAAAATCACAATACTTTCTCACCTGGTAGTTCAAATTCCAGGATTTTGTTCTAAAGAAGTAATTAAGGATGTGTGTAAAATTTAACTTCAGTGTGTTTATCAAAGACTTATTTATCATGGCAAAACAGACATGATTTATTATTCAACAATTGAAATTGATTAATTTGCAGTATATTCTAAAATGAAATGTCAAGCAGATTTAAACAATTAGGGCATAGAAAACTAGTGATAGGAAAAAACTGCAGGACATATTGTAAATGAAGAAAATGATATTAAAACAATATGTACAATATGAGAATATTTTAGAAAATATATAATCATGCTTATGTGGATATAGTATCAATTGTTTAGGACAAAATGAAAGATGTATGATGTAATGAACTCTAATTTCTTTGTAACTCTTTCATCTCCAAATACCAGGGTTTATAAAAGAGTTGTCAAGGAACCACATGCATTAGAATCACTGGTTTGTAAAACTCATGTATCCAAGCTGTACCCCAAACTTATTAAATCAGAATATCTTGGGGGGTGGGGTGAATTAGCTATCTATGTAACAAATTGCAGCAAGACACAGGGTCTTAAACTTATAAACACTAATTGTTCAATTTTTTTTTTTGGCCTGCAATCCAGGTACCTCTTAGTGGGAGTGTTTCTCATGAAATCAAAATCGATGTGTTGGCTAGTGATTCAATTATTTTAACATTTCAGTGGGGCTAGAGAATCTGCTTCCAAGCTCACTTACACAGCCATTGGTAAGACTCAGCAGGTCCACCTCTGAACTCATTCCCATGAATTCTGGCAGATCTTGGTTATTCACAATGTGGGTCTTACCACTTTAGGCTGACTGATGCTCTTAACAATGTGGAAGCTGGCAATCTGAGAGAGAGAGTACTCAAGATAGAAGCCACAGTCTTTGTGTAACCTAATGTTGAAAGTGACATCCATCATTTTAGTGAATCAATAATAGTGAATCAATAAGTCTAGCCAACAGTTAAAAGGAAAGGAATTAAATAAGGACATGAATACCAGAAAGCATGGATTGGTGGGGGGTATCTTATAAAAATTCCTAACATGGGTTGAGAACTTAAACCTGAATTGTTAACAACATTTATTGTTGGCTTTTGTTTTTATTTTTATTTTTGGAATTGTTAACAATATTTGTAAAGGATTCATATACAAACCATTTACTTGCTAAATATTTTTAATAGAACAAAAAAATTGGTAAGTAGAATCTGATTCATTTCAGCCCATGGATTTGTTTCCTTTGCACCTAGCCTTTTCTGTAAAGATAATTGCCAGTCTTATGTTCATCTAAGATTACATTGTTCTGGGGCCAACACCAGAACTCCAGTTTTCTCAGTTCCTAAAAAGACACATTTTTTCAGTTCATTAAGCTTCATCTTTGTTTATCCTTAACTTTATCTTAGTTTTTGAAATTATTTTACTTTGTGAACAACTGCATGAATTATAATGTTGAAGAACAACAAAAACACCAAAATCCACTTTGGAAGTCAAAACAAAGTGGCTGTGGTCATAATAAACAGATAAATCCTATGTGATTTTAATATAAAACGTACTTGAGGAAGCTGGCAGAAGACAGTCTTTGATAGTACAAAATATACCTTTTTCCTCAGAATAACATGATCCTAAAATGATTGAGTGTAAATTGAGTCTCTGTAAACTGAATCACGTACCATGTGGACTAATGTGGCTAGCCGTTTAAAGGGGATATTTGGTATAGTCGTCTTTATTATTCACAGATTCCATATCTGCATATATGAAATTTATTTGCAAATTTGTCTACTTGGTAAGATTTATTTGTAAACTCAAAGTCAATACTTGTGGCACTTTTGCAGTCATATGTGGACATAGAGCCGTGAAAAATTTGAGGTGCCTACTTTCCCCGCTGAAGTCTACAAATCTACAGAGATAAGATACAAGTGGTGTTTTATACCAGAAGATGACGCTCTGCCTTCCTGCTCCCTATTGTAAAGCATTCTCTCTTTTGAAGTCTGTTTGCTGCCACATTTTTTGAATTTTTGTGCTTTTTATTGGTTATCATGCTATTTATTTTATTTTATTATTTTTAAAAGATTTTATTTATTTATTTAAGACAGAATGAGAGAGAGAGAGAGCACATGCGAGGGGGGAGGGTCAGAGGGAGAAGCGGGCTCCCCGCCGAACAGGGAGCCCGATGCGGGACTTGATCCAGGGACTCCAGGATCATGACCTGAGCCGAAGGCAGTCGCTCAACCAACTGAGCCACCCAGGCGCCCCGTTATCATGCTATTTAAAGTGGCCCAAAATATGTCTTATATTCCCAAGGGCAAGAAGGCCACATGCTGTGCCTTAGTGCGAAAATACATACTCTGGATAAGCTCTGTTCAGGCATGAGTTTGCTGCTGGTGAGTTCAATGTTAATGAATCAACAATATATATTAAATAAGGTGTCTTTAAGCAGAAGCAGATATAAAATGAGGTTTGGTATTGATTGGTTTATGAAAATCTTGGCATCAGAGGCTCACAGGAACTTATTTCTCCTAGGAGCAGTGGTTTTAGTAGTCACTAATTTGGAGTTCACAGAGAATTTAGAGAACACAACTACTGCAAACAAAAATCAACTAAATACTTTTGCAAAGTAGGGACTTCTTGAACTTTGATTTTTTTATTTTATGTAAAGAATCTAATAAAATGTGGAAAAAGGATGGAGGGGAGCACAGCTGATTGATTCCTAATTCCACTTCATTATGCTTAAATTCAGTGGGAGTCTCACAGCCATGTTTATAAAGGAGTCTTGGCTGGGGTGTCAGGCTTCTAGTTTACTTTGACTCTGTTTGTCAGTCTATATCACAACCTTCATGGCAATTAACTGTGCTTTTGTGTGCTAATTATCATTATCACACTATGTGGCCATTATTATTCTGATGTCCTTAGTTTGAAGCTCAAGCATCAATCAGTCACCTAAAACAATTGCATAGAAGGAAGCTTTGGAAGCCTGATCTAAAAGTCCTTATCTGAGCTCTGTTTTATTATACTCTGTTACAACACTGAACACAAAGCTCTTCATGACATAATTCTTTAAAAAATAATGCTTTATCCATTTGATTAGAGTGAATTTGAAGGTAGTTTTAAAAGTGCGGCTAGGATAGAAGTGGTGCTTTGTACCTGAAGGTCTATCCAGGCACCTAATACATTAAACAAAAATTACAAAACTAAGGTACATTTTTTTCTCATTGAGGTACCCTTGCCATTGGATGACCTTATTCAAGTTATTTAGACAAAGAGCATGGTGTTTTTGAGTTTGTTTAAATCCCCACTGGAGGCCAGATTGAAGGAGAAAATGGAATCAAGTTAGATGTGGTCAGAAGAGACAAATTTCTTTTCCTGCAATGCTCTTCCTTTTTCCTTCTCCTATATTAAAGCTACTCCTACTCCGCCCCTCCCCCATTGCCCCAGATGTGGGGGAAGGGAATAACATGAGCAGATAGATGCCCTATCTGGGGTTTTCAGAACTGTTGCATGCTGAGTCTAACCTGATGATATTCTGCCCATGCCTCCAAAAAGTCAAAAGCATTTTCAGCGTTGATTCCCCTTAAGAATTATCACACTTTGTTCAGATTGGTTTAATGAGAGTAAGAGGTGACCTTGTGTCCACATAGATAGTCCTATATTAAAAGACCTGGAAGTAAAACCTCACATATGTGTGTAAGTAATTATTTTAGGGGGCATAATGGGGAGAGGTTTTGCAGCTCTCTGCTTAGATGCTACCTAGGCTACCTGGGCAGGAGAAATTTTCCACTGCATTATAATGATGATTATTTGCAAATTACATGAGCACCAATAATTCATTCATGCACTGATATAAAGCAGGGGGATTCAGTGCAGTGGTATTGAACTTGTTGCTGGCAGCATTAATTGATTCGTTTGGAACATTTCCCCCCACAGAATCCCAATGACAGCTTCCCTGAGCAAGAAACTGACACACAGTTGGGGTCCCGGATATGCAAGGACACACGTGTGAGGATATTGTCATCAAAATAAACCATTTTTGTCTCCTGGCAGGGGCTGGTTCTCCTAAGAACACTTCCCAATCTTGGGAGCTTCAGTGAGAGGCTTGCTTTCTTGGCAGAGGTGGCAGTTGAGCTTCATGTCTTTCCTGTGGGTTTGAAAAAAGGGACTGATTACTTGTTGTATTTTAAACTAGCCACTGTTCTTCTCAGGGAAATGTTGGGGATGTGGCTCTTCTTGGAAAATGTTGGGGAGGTGCTGAACAAGCTTAACATTTGATTTGTGTGGCCCTATTGATGAAGAGAAAAAAAAAATGCCTCTCATCATAATGTTTAACTGACATCCCCTCAAGATGACCCAAATCTGTCTCTCCTGATACATAATGCCTGTCTTTCCAACTACATGGTAAATTGTGGAGCAGATATTAAGTTTTGGTCATTTTTAGTTTCCTAGCACCTACTAGAATACAATTTCTAGCTTATAATAGAAACAGAAGAAGGGTAAAAGGAAAGAATGAAAACAAAACTATTTAAATTTGAAATTTGAAAACACTCTTAAGGGGCTTTGCCCTAACCCTTAACAAAACTTTGAAAATTGCTTCAATTTGTAATCTCTTTGGTAGAATGTGACAGCCTACTTTATTCTTTTCTCTTTGAAATTTTATTTTGAGTTTAAAGCATCACTTTTTCGCTGAACATATTAAAAGTATGCATGTATACATAGGAATATTATCTGGAGAACTTCTGGCTAGGCATTTTGTTTTTTTGTTATATATATTTTTACTGAAAATCATATGTATAATTGTAAGTGACTAGGTGCGGAAAAATAATCTAAAAGTCATTATGACGTTATAAGTCATGGTTCTGGCAGGACCACAAAAGCCTTCAGACTGAGTAAAAACATTCATCTTAACTAGTTATTTACCATGGAAAATTGTTGCATTACTAATATTCCCATTTGGGGAAAGTGCCTGTATTAGAGAAATACACCAGGTGGGCAGGGAGGGAGACTTAAAATCTCTCTCCAAGTTTAAGCCAACAAGAAATCTGGGGAACAATAGCAAAAACTCCTTTCTTTAGCATTAATCTCAGCAACAAGGAAAGCCATGGAATTTCAAGTGGTGAAAATTTTGACCACAGCAATACACAACACACTTCTGAATTTGCCTACTGCCTGAATAGGAATGAAAAAAACAAAGAACACAAAACTGTGTGAAGAAGGCAGCTGCATGTATTTGTAGGAGTTGGTTGCTTACTGCAGTAGTTTAAAAATAGTTTTCCAGTTAACATCTTTTCCACATAATGGAGATGTCAGTGTATGTTTACACGATTGTGGAAATGGTCAGAAGCTGTTTATGTAGTTCTGAACTGCTGAACAACGCACAGGAATACTGGGGTTCAGCAAAGCCCTTGGGGCTTTTTCCCTTGAGAGGAGCCTGGGCTTCACTTGGGTTGCTGGAAATGCATGCCAATGAATTCGACCCGGCTGACTTCCCTCTGCCTGTCAGACTTACTTTGCACAGGGTTCGTCAGGGGCTGGGACATTGTTGCCAATCTCTACGGTTACTCTGAGTTTGGAGCTGGGGATGAAGAAAGCCATTTCTGCAAAAAGACAGTAGATTCACTCTGTAGAAAGATCACGGTAACGTCATTTTCCAAAGCACATGCTTTGAATAACAAAGCTTTCAATGTGCGCCTCCCCCTCCACACACCACAGATTGATCCCTGTACATATTTCATCTCAACCGTTTCCTTTCCCACACACACATTCCAGCTTGAAAGCACACTCTATGAGTGTCCAGGTCGAAAACGCTGCCTGTCTGGCCAGTGTCCTTCGCTTAAGGACAAGTAGGTAAAACCTTCCAAAAGCCCCCTCTTCCGGCTTCTCAAGTTCACTGTTGTCCCCCCCCACCCACACTCTCCTGTAGCCGGCAATTCTCAGCCCCCAAAGCAGAAGCATTGGTTTCCCTGGGTAGGGCGCCTTCAAGAGTCCTCGAATTCCCCGTACACAGAGGCCAGAGGTTTGGGCACCGAACAGTTCGAGCCTCCTTGTGCCCCTGTACTCGGGTTGCAAAGGAAGGCGGCATCGCTGCTGTATATGCCCCATCGATAAGCGGCGCATCCTCTACACCGGAACGGGTTGTCTTCGGGAGCTTCGGATTCAGGTGAGGCAGCCTTCCCCAGTTTTGCGCGCAGGGGCTGGGGACCTTCTCTCCCGGGCAGGGCCGGGCAGGGCCGGGCACACGCTCCACCCGGGCGGGCACCTCCTCCCGCCGCGCACTGAGCATGCTCAGCCCGGCGGCGCGCCGGCTCCCGCCCGCCCCGCGTCTCTCGTCTTCTCCACGCGTCTCCGCCCCTTCGAGGCTGAGGAGCCGGCTGCCTGAACCTTGCAGCGCCGGGTTTTTTGAGCCGCCGCGAGCGCTGGGAGGGAGGAGAGCGCGGCACCAGACACAGCACGGGGTTCAACACCAGGATTGGTCGCAAGTAGGAAGCTTTCGCCACTACAGCGGGACCCTCGGGCTGTGCCGACGCCGTTTGCTAGGAGGCTGTAGCGGGCGCCGCGCTCAGGTGCTGAGGTAAGTGAGGCGCGAGCTAGCAGGGTTCGCTCCAGTCTGGGGCGCGTGCTGCCCCGGGCGCTCCGGCTGTCGGATTGTGGGAACGAGCACGGTCCTCAGAGGCTGCGGAGTGAAAGGGGGCTACTTGGGGCTCCCACTCCTGCAGGGCTGGACGGGGTCCGTGGGCCGTACTGCCTTGAGCCTGGCAGCCCTGCGGGGTCGGCGCAGCTGGAACTGAGCGCCCTGAACGCGCGAGGAGGCAGGGCGCACACGACGCCACCTTCACCCCACGGCGACCCTTCTTTTTAGTCAGAAAGTAACTTTGTTGCGCTGCAAGGCAGCCACAGAACAAGTAGCCTGGAGCGCGTAATGCCTCAGGAATCGTTAAAATCAGCTCCTCCAACTGGTTCAGGCTATTGCCCCCTCTCCGTGCGCGCTGGCGAGAGTTTCCTTCTGATGGTGATACCCCGGGGTCTGATTGCCCAGCTGTGGAGCCCACGGTAGAGAAAGGCGAACTTGGGCTGGTGTTTGAAGGGATTTAGGATCTAAGGGCGCAGGAGCCGGTAGCGGTGGTGGAAGGAGCCCTGTTGGAACAGACATTGATTTTGGTGGTGCCCACTGTGTGCCAGGCTCCGTGCTAAACGCCGGGGGTACAGAGGCGAATCCAGATCCCCGCTCTTGTGACACGTACCTCGTATACCCAGGCTCTGCCCAGGGAACTTGTAGGGGTGGCGTAATAATCTCCAGTAACTTGGGGGGATTTGCAGTTTCTTTTGCATGGCAAAGACAGCTGCCTTGTCTCCTCCTCGGACCCAGGTATCAAGGAGATGTGCACCAGGCACCCCGCAGACACCAGCCCGCACTCTCCTTCTGGAAAGGAGGGCTCAAAACCTGCCTGCATTTTCTCTCTTTGTGATTCGTGTGTATATATTCTATTATTTATGAAAGGTGTGGAGGTGAGGGTAAGAGGACGTGGGCTGCTCAGTCTTTCTGAAACAGTCTGGGAGTCTGATGCATGAGAACATTTTGCAGTACAGCGGATTCCCAGCAAGGAGGCTGCTTCGCGCAACGCGAAACTAAGGAGGTTGGTTGCTGGCTGGGGTCTCCAGATTTGTAGCGAAAAGATTTGCAGAGGTAGTATAGGGCGAATCAGTGTGACTGATCACTTTGGGTGGGTGGTCTGCGTGGAGGTGGGGTGGTGGATCTTGGGGTGTGTTGGAGGTTTGTTTGCAAGGAGGAGCTCCTGGGAGGAAAGCTCCTGGAACTTTTTTCTAGTTTTCCTACTGAAATCAACATAGGGGCAGGGACATGTTTGTCTGAATAACTGTCTTTTAATTTCATCGGAAGCATCTGCAGCTTACTGTGATGGGAGCTGGATATTTCAAAGAATAATTCCACATAATTGATTTGTTTGGACACTTACAGAAATAATTTGGAATGTGCTTTTATTTTTGTATTTTGAGGTGTATGTCCTTTAGGGAGTGGGGTAGATTTCCAGCAGGCAAGTCCCCGCAGAAGCATTTACATTCCGGCCCATTAGCAAGTTTGTTCTCTCTGTCTCTACCCAAGTGGGTGAAAAAGAACATTGTGTCATGGAGGCAGACACCTCGAGGTGATTTTTGTGGCATTTATGAGAAAACTCAAATTTCATCCGTAACTTTATTCTTGCTATCTTCATCTTGATTTCACTCAAGACTTATGTGGATCTCCACAGTGGGTGGTGGGAGTGTTAGTGTTGCTAAGAATCAAAAACAAGTTCCATGGGAATACCATTTTTGCCACGTTATAAAATACTATTGATTTTTTTGTTTGTTTAAACCAACTTCAGCTGCTCTGGATTGATAAGAAGAGATCACGATGATAAGCCTCATTATTTTTCAGTGTGGACCCTGTCAGGTTAGAGGAGAACATGGAAAAACTGACCTTTTTAAATTGGGGGCTAAGACTAATAAGAGAAAAGACCTGTTGTTCAAGGGTGCAGGTCAGAGCCATATGGAAATTTCAGCAGAGGCAGATTTTCTTTTGACAGCCTTTATGAAAACAGTTTTTAGTTCCTTTAACTTGGGGGACTTTGTCTTCTTGAGTCAGCTCAGCATCTCTTTCCATGGTCATTTCATATTGGTAGAACATTGACAGTAAATATAGAGAAAGCCTTTCAAATAATGTTAGATTTTTTAATCATCCGTTTATTTTACCTAGTTCTCTTTCTTCTTCTTGTTCAGAAGTAGGTCTTCTAATTATTTTCCCTTTAAGCACTAAATCTTTTGGCTAGAAGTTTTCTTCTGAAAGGTACACAGAACATCTGTTATTTCAATTTATTTCTTAAGAAATAAAGGTAACCTGAATAATTAAGCTTCTCAGCAGAAAACCCCCCTTTATAGTTCCAAATTTTCTGCCAAGTTTAACTTGTTGGGTTCTTCTTTGTTATAGTCAAAGACATAGATATAAAATACATTAGTTTTAATCTTGGTTTTTATTTAAAGAATTTCATCTTTTGTGAAAGCATGCTTTTATATGATTTTAATTGAATTAATCTATTTCATATGTTAAGCAGGGAGATGTCTGTACACACAGATGTGGTAAGTTTTGTTGTTTTCGTTTTTCCATAACAGTATCTTAAGTCTTGTGAGGGAGACCAGATTTATTACCTAGACTTATCAGTCTTTATTTATTTTTTCTATTATATACTATCAGAAGAAAATTTGGCTATACTCACTCAAATTTATTGTTAATCATATATACTACTATGTTGATATTACTACTTGTAAAATATATACAGCAAAAAGCTAAAGGATAAATAAAGCAAAAATTATGAAACAGAAGTTCTAATATTTTTATGGATTCCAGCGATTTGCTTTGCATTGCCCCTCGGGTATATACCCCACTTTGGAAATCACTGATGGTTTGCGGGGTTTTTACCTTTCTTTTCTTACCTCTGGCTTTGCCATTCACCATCTTTGATATGGTGGCTAGTTGGAAAACTGCTAGTAATCTGTGTCTCCTGTAACAGATGGGTTAAGAGCACTCTTTTCTGGTCATGAACACATATGTGGACAGAATGAGGCAGAAGAGATGAATGTGATATAGGGGTCATCCTGGATCTCCCAAATTAGATATACAGAAGAAAAAAAAAATGAAGTTTTAACTTAAAGACTGAAGTTCCAGTGGTTAAAAAGTGAGGAAACCAGGAAGAGTGAGGAAAAGAAAGACATTTTCCATGTTACAGTATTTTGTGGAGGGTGAAAAGAACAAAAACCTTGCAGAAGATTAACCTGGATGTGGCCCTACCACTTACATTCATGATATTGGACAAGATGGTTCCATAACTTTTTTGAATCTCAGTTTCCTTAGCTATAAAACTGGGATAACATTTGTTTCAAGGCATCATGGTAGGGATTAAACATGAGAGTATAGGTATAGAGCTTACCTCCATTAGTTTAGATAGGTTAACAGCTGTAACAGATGAATCCAAAAAGTGTACTTCTTCAAACATGAAATATTCTCATTCGTGTTAAGTCCCCAACTGGATGATCCTGGCAGCATTCCTCCAAGACCTCTAGTTTTCTTCAGCAGGGTCATCATACTCATCTGCATGCATCAAGGCACTGGAAGGAAAAAGACTTGGAACTGTTAATTGCTCAGACTTGCAAACCATAATATCACTTTTGCTTTCATTCCATTGGCCAGAACTCAATTGTATGTAGATGGATCTTGCTATAAGGGAGGCTGGGGAATAGTACAGCTGTGTTTCCAGGAAGGAGAAGAAACAGCAGGGGGAACAGCCAGCATTTCTGACACTCTATTACTCTGTGTGATTTCCTCCATTTTCAGTAAATGTTAATTACCTTTCCTTCCCCCAACCCCTGGCAGAAAAAAAATAGGCAGTTATAAGGAAATACTTTTCTAAGCACTTTGCCCTCCCAGATAGGTATTGTCTATGTTGTATAAATAAGGAAAACTTGGCATAGAGAAATTAAGTCATTTGTTCAACATAGCCAGTAAGTGGCAGAGCTAGGATCTGAACTATTTCTCTGGCTCTAGAGTTGATTTTCTTAACAGCTTCTTTATACTACTTGTTTATTCTTGCCTCAATACTTTTCTTATTATAGCCATTGGACGACTTTTTCTTTTTGTCTATATGAAAAAGGTGGAGGAGAATTAAAAAATCCCAAAGAAGAAAAAAAGATTATATCTAATCTAAAATATAATGGAATATAATTAGATATGATACAGGTTTATCTTGAATACTTACTTGGAGCAGGTATTTAAAGTGAGACTCTCCACTACAATGCTTTTTCACTTCTGATGAACAAATTATCAGAGTGTAGGTCCTGAATTATAGCCTTTCTCTTAGGCTTTCATTGTGGGAAATCTTGGCTGCCATTTTTATGCTGCAGTATACAAAGATAAATTCCTTTTCGCTTCTTAGCCTAAGTAAATATTCTTTCTGGCAAATTCACAGCTAAAATATTCTCCTTTGACCTTCCTTTTGATCAAAAGCATTGTTTTTCATCAACATCCCCAGCTCCCAAGAAAGAGAACTCTTCTCTTGTTCTTTCAGCTTTGCAAAACTTTTTAGAGTATTTACTGCATGACTAAAGGGACCTCTACCAATAATCCTAGCATCCTGGAAAAGAAAATGATCCCTTTTGGTCTTATCCTGTTATCTTGTCCCACTTATATTAGAAATTCTGCTTATTCTCTCCTTTCCTGTGTATTTGTCCTTTGTAAAAATACCTCTTACACTTGTGGTTCCAAATAGCTGCAGTAGAAATGTGAGGTGGTTAATAGTGAGACTGTACTTTTTGCCAATACAGTTCATTTTCCAGTATTTCAAGTCATTTTTTTCTTCTTGTTCAGTATTTATTTGTGGCATCTTCCCAATTAATTAATGACACATATGTTCTCACCATGTAGGTGGGCAGATATACTTGTATACTTACCAGTCACCTCTTTCTCAAAAGACCCTGTTTATTTCCTCCTAACTTTCCCTGAACCTTTTGTTTTAAGAAATATCCTTT